TGGACTTCAGACATTTTGAAGAGGGATTATTTGGGACTTGTAACGAGACTGGTGTTGACGACTTTCCCATCTCCCCCCTTCCTCTTCTTCGTCTGATCCCCTCCTCTTCGTCTGTGTATGTCTGGACCTGGCGCCTCCTTCCTGTGTATAGCACCAGGCCCTATCACACCTTGTGATGAGCATGATGTATGTTTGGCCTGCGTTGAAACATTGAGTGGGCTAGTCCTTAGTATTCTAGCATTCTGCTTCGCTATCTTGTACTACGTGAAAGAGGTCAGTCCCGGTCAGGTCAGGACTTGTATCTAAATCGTCCACTGCGCTATAACACACCATTTTGTATCAGAATGCACATTGCTTGTTGAGATTCCACTTGCACTGCATTGTCCATTCAGTCCTTTTTATCACATTGCGGATCCTCGGTTTATATGTACATCACCCAACTGGGCATGTAACAGTTGGTATCGGAACACCGCACATGAATCAGGACAACCTGATCTGACACGTGTGCGGGGACTAGGTAGCTGATTAGTCTTGATTGATTGATTAGAGCATACTATTTAGCCCCCAAATCACGATTTTGAGCTCACTGCCGAAAATCAATTTTTTTTTTCCTTTTCTTGGATTTCATTTTCTCGCTATTTCTGTTGTGGAAAATCGCAACAGTGCAACATCTGAAATTTCCGTTTTAGTTTTCTTCTGAAAATCCGAAATTTCGTTGTTGGAAATCCGGAATACCTTTTTCTCGAAAATTTCGATCTCCTTTTGCAATTTCCCGTTATTTGGAAATTTGGAATATTTTTTTCCGAAAGTCGTTGTTCAGAAAACGGTACGGGAAATCCCTCTTGCAGTACCATTTTCCAAACTGCGAATACTCTCATCTGAGTAAGTCCGAATACTTGTTATTTCTTCTCGGATTTTTTTTTTTCCGCAGTTCTATGATTTTCACTACCTGATCATCATTGACAGTCTGAAGCTCGAGATTTTTTTTCTCATTGATACCTTCGCACTTCAAGGGAGGTTGGGAGGCCTACTGAACTGGCAAAACTCGGGATTTTTATTTTTCTCGAATTTTTTTTTTGCAAAGTTCAAACTTTTCCTTTTGATTAGTGGCTCCTTATCTGGGCGTTATCTGGGCGATTATCCCACCCACCCCTCCCCACCTATGTTGTTGCCCCCTCTGGTCTTACCTTCTCTATCTGTCTCCGGGTACCCCCTGCGGCGGCATTGGTGAGTTGCCACGTCAGCAGGACACATCAGCAGGACACGTGAGCAGGCCACGTCAGCAGGCCACGTCAGCAGGACACGTCAGCAGGACACGTCAGCAGGACATGTCAGCAGGCCACGTCAACCGACAGCAGTGCCGTGTCAGCAACAGGGAGTACCACGTCAGGAGGCCCCCAGCCTGGTCTATGCTCACGCGCTCGCAAACAGCCGTCATGGACCAGAAGTTCGGGGAAACGGACGAGGCTTGTCAGGCCCGGATGCTGCTTCTGATTACCGAAGCTAAGCAACGGTCGGATGCAGTAGCAGCCGCAACAAAGCAGAAGGCAGAGGACGCCGAGAAGGCACGTCTGCAATTGAACAGCAGCGCTTGCACGACGAGGCAGCAGCAAAGGCTGCCGATGAAGAACGAGTTCAACGTCGTGAGAAGATATTCAGCGGAGAGCAAGCCTTGCTCACAATGGCCGAGGCCGAGAATGGCAAGATGGAAGATAGTGAAAACAAGATCGCTCTACTCCTCTCCCATCTCACGGACCTCCTGGCAACATGCATTACACAACAGGAAGACATCCACAGCCTCGAGGCATTGGAGATTGGAGTTGGAAGAGCAGGAGGACATCCACAGCAGGAGGTGTTGGAAGAGCTGGCATCGGGGACATCCAATGCCTCGAGGCGATCAGAGGTGTTGGAAGAGCTGGCAACATGCATTACACAGCAGGAGGACATCCACAGCCTCCTGGCGACCCGTCACCGCCCCCGATGCCAACTCTTCCAAGACCTCCGATCGCCTCGAGGCATTGGAGATTGATGTCGGCTCCCTCAAGGACGGCGTGCAGTTACAGCAAACCGCTACGCAACAGTTGGAGCAGCGGATCTGTACTACCGCCAACCACTCGAGCTCGGAACCACGCGAGACAGCTCCAAAGTTCGACGGGCAGGATATCTTCTGTGACTCGACGAAGACCGATCCGATTTCATGGTTCCGCAAGTTTGAGCTCACGTTGCAGCTACACTACGTCAAAGAACACAAGCACCACGGGTACTTGTACTCCCGGTCGGGGGGCGCATGCCAAACATGGTTGGACAATCTTTTGTCCAAGTACGGAGTGGTAGCTGCCGACTTGCATACCAAGATCAGTTGGGATGCTCTGAAGGCGGCGTGGCATAAGCGGTTCCAAGTAGCGCCCGGAGATCAAGGCAATGGACAAGCTAATGGTCTTCGAACAAGGCACGCTGCCGAGTGTTGACTGGATTGCCGAGTACCAACGCTTGACATCCGTCCCAGATATCCAAATGGGCTTCAAAGCCATCAAACACTACTTCATCTCAAGGTCGTGTCCGGTGTTGGGCAATGCCTTGACTCACGTCGAGGACACCCTGACGACACTGTCAGAACTTTTTGACAAGGCCGCGCAGATTATTGTCACGAACAAGGAGGCCAAGAATCTCCTGCGTTCGTTTGCGCCAGGCCTGGGCAGAGATCAGCATCGGCCGAAAGTGGTTGTGGTCGCGGCGCCAACGGCAAACGACCAAACTAACGAGGCTGTGTCTGCCAATGAAGGAGACAGACTCGCAGCCGCCCGGGAAGGTGGCCGCCCCAGCAAAGGCCGAGGATGCGGCAAGGCGAAGACAAACACCGCATCTAGCCCCGGGCCCGGCGCAGCAGCTCCGGCCCCATGGCCCTATTACGGTCTCTCCGAGCAAGCATTCAAGGCACGCACGAGATTCCACTATTGTCTGTGGTGTAACAACGATCTCCACGACACAATGGCCCGCCAGTCGAAAGGCAAGGGCAAATCGGAAAACTGAGCACCATCGGGAGTGACTCGACGACACTCTCGACGCCTTCGGAACCGGTCACTTCGCGGTTGACCACCCTTCATTCCGAGGCACATGCGGAAGTCGATAGTCCTCTTCTTTATTCTTTTGAGGACTATGCGGCGTGGCTCGTTCCTACGCTGGGTACTCATGCTCAAGGACAACACGTGTGTGCGACATCTTCTCCGTCCAACAACGACAACTTTTCGTCTTTAAGTGGTTCTTCACGGGTTTCGGCACGCGACTTCAAAATAAAGGTATTGGACCCGCTCACGTCCGGGGATTTTGCATGGCTTCCTCTCCTGACCATGGGCCGCTTGCCGGGACCGCAATGCGTAACACTATGCGCTCATCTTCACACGTACTTATCTTTCTATGCACCACCAACTTCGCCGACGGATGACGAAGTCACGGTGGGGGACATCCTTGCGTATGTTACCACGGTGGCCCGCGAGTTTCGCAATCAGCGGTACGACGACAACAACGCACCGCTCGTCTATGTCCGCATCCAAGTTGGGCAAGCGACCTGCAGCGCTTTGCTGGATAGCGGCGCGTCTCGCAATTTTATGAGCCAAACCTTTATGCAAAAGGCTGGCCTTGGCGCACAAGTTCGAAGGAAGGCAAACCCGACGGCGATCAAGTTGGCGGACGCAAGGACGCAGCAACTTATCGACCTCTACATCGAGGCCGTACCGGTAAATTTCGCACCTCATGCATGCGAACCAGTGACATTTGACATTTCGGACACGGACTTCGATATTATTTTGGGAATGCCTTGGCTTGCAAATGCGGATCACACAGTCAACTTCCACCAGCGGACTCTTACCGTTCACGACGCCTTCGGTGCCGAAGTGTCGTTTACTATTCCTATTCCGCACCCTTCGATTCGGTGTCAAGTGGTGACGGCCAAGTCATTCTGGGCTACTTGTGCTTACGAGCAGCTCGACGAAATCGGCCTATGTTTCCTATGGACCATCGCGGTAGCCGACTCTTCACCCACGAACTGGTCTTCGGGCCCTCGTGTGGTACGGTTGCTTGACGAGTTCGCTGACATCTTCGAGTCACCTACTGGTGTGGTGCTGGATCGGTCAATCTCTCACGAGATCATTCTTGAGGCCGGTGCCGTGCCGCCGAAAGGTTGCATTTATCGCATGAGCGAGGAGGAGCTTACGGTCCTCCGCGCGCAACTCGATGATTTGTTGGACAAGGGCTGGATCCGCCCTAGTAGCTCTCCATACGGAGCGCCAGTTCTCTTCTTACGGAAGAAGAACAAAGATCTAGGATTGTGCATCAACTACAGCAAGTTCAACGCGCAAACCGTCAAGAATGCGGGGCCTCTTCCTCGCATCGACGATCTTCTTGAGCGATTGGGCGACGCAAAGTATTTTTCTAAGTTGGATTTGAAGTCGGGATATCATCAAATCTCGGTCCGACCGAACGATCGTTACCAATCGGCGTTCAAGACGCGGTATGGGCATTTTGAGTGGGTGGTCATGCCTTTTGGCCTCACCAACACCCCGACGACCTTTCAAGCGGCAATGACCAACGAGTTTCGTGCAGTGTTGGACCGGTTCATAATGGTCTACTTAGACGATATTCTCGTCTATAGCCGATCATTGGAGGATCATCTTGAGCACCTTCGACGAGTGTTGGAGACGTTCTGCGCCAAGTACAAGGCCAACCGCGACAAGTGCGAATTTGTCCGGCAAGAGCTGGAATACTTGGGCCATTTTGTCACACCGGAGGGCATCACTCCACTATCAGACAAGATTCAAGACATCCAAGAGTGGCCGGAGCCACGGAACGTCACGGATGTCCGTTCGTTCCTTGGCCTTGCTGGCTACTACCAGCGTTTTATCAAGGGCTACTCGAAGATCGCGGCCCACTTGACCAAGCTTCAATGCAAGGATCGGCGGTTTGACTTCGGAGCGGATGCGCGGGAATCATTTTTGGCTCTCAAAGCTGTGCTATTATCTGCGGAGGTCTTGCGCATATATGACCCGCTTTTGCCTACGCGTGTCACTACGGATGCGTCCGGCTATGGTGTCGTCCTTGAGCAACACGATGGCGTGGACTGGCACTCGGTCGAGTATTTCAGCAAGAAAGTGCCCACCGTGCAGGACTCGGTCGAGTATTTCAACAAGAAAGTGCCCACCGTGCACTCCATTGACGATGCACGCAACAAGGAGTTCCTCGCCTTCGTCCACGCGCTCAAGCGGTGGCGGCACTTCCTCCTTGGTCGAAGCCAATTCCGATGGGTAACGAACAACAATCCGTTGGTCTTTTACAAGACCCAAGACACCGTCAACAGCACCATCGCTCGATGGATGGCTTTCATCGACCAGTTCGACTTCTTTCCCGATCACATTCCGGGGAAGTCGAACCGTTTTGCAGATGCTCTTTCACGGCGTCCGGATCATTGTACCGCGGTCTATTCAACCTTCGAGATCGACAACGACCTGCGGGACAGCTTCATCCACGGCTACCAAGTCGACCCCGAGTTTCGTGACAAGTACGCGAATTCCTCCTCTCCTAATCCGTCGCCTTCTCACTACCAGATCCAAGAGGGGTACTTGCTTGTCCACACACGGGGGAAGGACCTTTTTTGCGTACCGAGTGACCCTCACTTGCGTACACGGCTTCTTGGCGAGTTCCACGATGCTCCCACCATCGGACACTTTGGAGTCAATCGCACAATTGGCCGACTTCGCGAGTGCTTTTGGTGGCCCGGCCTTCTCGGCGACGTCGCATGCTATTGCGAGTCATGCGAGGTTTCCCGACGCTGCAAATCCCGCAACCATCGTCCATACGGCGAGTTGCGACCATTACCGGTCCCCTTGTGGCGAAGGGAAGTGATTGCCATGGACATTACCGGCCCGTTCCCCAAGCACAAGACCGTCGTGGATGGGATTCTCACGGTGGTCGACCGACTCACCAAGTTCGCCATGTTTTTGCCTTGCCGCTATCATGCCAAGGCACCGGAGTTGGCCGAGGTCCTTTATGCCGGTTGGATTCGAACCAAGGGTTACCCCAAGGAAATCGTTTGTGACCTCGACACTCGGTTCATGTCCGATTTTTGGTTGGCGCTCATCAAACGATGGGGCTCATCTCTCAAGCCAAGTTCGGCTCGCCACTCCCAAACCGATGGCCAAATGGAGAGGGCACATCAGACCGCACAGGTTCTCCTTTGCACTCTAATCCGCCCCGACCAGAAGGATTGGGTTGAGCGGCTGCCGGATGTCGAGTTGGCCTACAACTCGTCCATCCACCCGGCTATCGGGATGTCGCCCTTCAAGTTTGGTTGACCCATGCGGAACTCCAAGCAACAGCTCGCTACGAACGAAAAACGCAGGGCAAGCCGGTATCTTCAGCTCCACGTCGCACCCGCGTCCAAGTTCCACCTTCAGATCATCAGCTTCGCCCTCGACCCGGCTTGACTTCATAAGGAGGGGGGGGTGTTAGATGTTGCGCCTGCAACAGGCTGCACGGGCCATTTCCAGGCCCGTGACGTTTTCAGGCCAAAAGCCTGAAAACAAGGGTCTACAGGCCCTGTGTCGTTTCAGCCTGAAAGTCGAAAAACAAGGGCCTACGGGCCCTGTGTCGTTTCAGGCTAAATCAGGGCCTTTCCGGCCCTGAGTGTTTTCAGCCTGAAACTGAGGGCCATTTTCGGGCCCTCATCGGTTCAACCTGCCCTGAAACTCAGGCAACAAACCAGGGTCTTAGCACAGGTCATTTCGGGCCTGTTTTAAAGATAACCCCTGGTTGAGCTTCAACGCCAGGGTCTGGCATGTTTCGGCATTGGCAAGAGCAACCTCCTTGACGGGCCAGCACTATATAGGACTGGCCCGCCCCGCAGGCCGGCAGGTAGTTCCTAGGTACTTCCCAAGCACTTCACTCGCAGTTCAGGAGGCAGGAGGTAGTCTTCAGGATTGGCAGCAGCACTCAGGAGGAGTGCTGCAGGAGTAGTAGCAACGTTAGCAGTAGTCTCTAGCGCTGGGCGCTACGTAGCGTTAGCTGTAGTCTTCAGCGCTGGGCCCCATAGCAGCTAGAGTAGTACTAGAGAGAGAGAGATTGGGCGGAGGCCAGAGGGACTTACCTGCAGCGCCATTGCTCCAGCTTCGTCTTCGAGGTACCTGCAGCACAGCGCCATGTTCACAGGTTAGTACCTGGCATTAGAGAGAGAGAGAGTTCTTCTTCCTCTTCTCAGTCCACCATCTCCTTCTCACCCTCTCGCTATCTGACTTCACTGCATCAGCAGA